TACCAATCCTGTTTTGCTGATTGCTCTTTAACAATCTCTACCCACAGCCCTATTATCTCAATGAAACAGTACACTCTTGTTTGCAAAGCAAGTTCTCTAAATAGTAATTGCTGCAAGAAGTACTGCACTGAAAGCTGAATCTATAAAGCCATTAACTGAACTAGCTTTGGGGCACAACAAATGATGTCTTGGTCTGAACTTGCCAAGGTCTTTCCCTGGGCTGGCCTAGGAGTAGGATGTAAGTATCCTATAAGTAAGAAAAGATGTTACCTGAATGGAAATATTGCATCCTCTCTACTGGGAAGTTATTATCATTATCAGTTCTTATCAGCAGCTGCTGCATGTGTGGACTTTTAATATTGGAAAATCCAAATATTTGGGGTTCAGCTCTTAAAATCAAACATGTTCTTAACTCCTCAGAGAGGAGCTACTTGTTTTGAATTGTGTATGTGTTAAAGCTAATGTTCTAATCAACTTATTGTATTGTTGTAACCAAGCTAATATATGGGTATGCCTGTCTTCCCAGTATTTGATCTTTCCTCAGAATAGGAAGATAGACATCTTCATGTGCAGCTATTGGCTGATACACAGACCAGAAGTTTCTTTTCTATTTTCTAGAAGAGTCTGAAGACTTCCATTGAGTCTAATACTGAGAAGGTGCAGAAATAGTGATGATATGATACAATCCAATATGATACAAAGAGTGGCTGACCCAATATAGTGACCCCCCATGCGTATCAGTTTCTATGTTGGTAGGGAAATGCAAGTTACAGTTATTGATCTAATGTAGGTGACTAGAAGTACTCATCGTAAACTAAGTGAATGTTCGTCATCCTCATTTCTACAGCAAAAGACCTGTACTTTATTATATTGGTTTGGGAGAGAGATCCTTTTTTTTGGCTCTGTAAACCACAGGCAGCATGAGGCTCAGTGAGCTACCTGGGAGCAAGTCACTGGGAGTGCAAGAGCCCTAGATCGACATCTACTTGTTTGCATTCCTAGAGTCCCACAGCAATGTGCAATGTGCATCACTTTCCACATGACTTTGTTGGTCGTGAGCCAGAGCAGCAGGTCCCACAATAGCAACAGGTGAAAGAGGGACAGTTTTTGCGTCCTGTTTTAACAAGATATGCGTTTAGCACTAACCAGACAAGTGCTATCAAACTTGCTTTATCCAGCCATTTCTCCATTTTCCTCAACACAGATATTCATAGCCTGAAGAAGGTGGCCATACCACCAGACCCATCAGTATGGCTTTTGGAACTTTTTGGTCCTGATGAAGTACTCAGTCCTTCTATAGTCCTCTTGAAATAAACTTCAGGATCTTTCCACAGTTTGTGAACATACTGCACTTGTCTACTGGCTTTGTGGAGAATGAGATTGCATCCCCTTATTTCAGAGGAAAAATATTTTACATTTGCTGTGTCTAGAATCTAAGAGAATAATAACCCATCCAAGATGGTACTCCCTTCCAGATGCTCAATAGCACAGTGAGTCTTAGCTAGGATACTATGTCTCTGTTTCTACAAGCACTTAACTCCTCAGTAGTATTTTCAAATGATGAAAAATGCTTCTACTGTGATTGAAGACATCCTGTTACTCCAATTAGAATACGCCTAGCAGTTCTGAAATGAAAACTGGTCACACCTTTGTGAACACTAATGCTAAATTCCATCTTTGGTGCATAAGAGTTTGACAGCTGCCAGCAGTTTCTACACCAGTCAACTCCATGCAGCAATAGCAAAATCTGCTTAGTGTCTACAGAGATAGCATTTCATCCTCCTCTTCTGCATGGCTCAGTCCCTGCCTCACTGAGGGCTTTCAATAATTAGAAAACATGAGTCTCAGGGCTATATACACAACAATGTCTTACAGCTCAGTGCCACCACACTCAAGCAGCGACAGTCACCAGCACCAGGGTAACAAGAATCCAGATTTGCCATGCATCTGCTATGTTTAATGAAGCAGTTTCTCATCTATCCCCCAGTCAATAGCTTATTGTATAACTGCATCAAAGTCCTCATCTAACTGATATTTGGACCCTTTCCTCAAGTCAACAGAAATATCAGGAATAGAATCAAATCCTTGAAACTGAAAGCATCAAGGTTTTTCATAACTGAGGAAGTCACAATACTCAGTAAATAATAATTGGCTTCTCCTAAACGGTAATATAAGAAGCAGAGTGGCTGTTGAGAGAACATTAAGTACTATACTCCTGCTTTATATGGAACTTATCATTGGCTCTCAGTGCATTTGGGTGGTTGTTTATCTTAAATCCCTCTTTTCTATATTCCATATAACTTCAATTTGCCAATTATAAGAAAGGTAATAGGATTTCTCCATCTCACAGTACTGCATAACTCAGTTCTGCAATCTTGAGATTCACAAATATCATGATACTAAGGAAACAATAATTGTTCATAGTCACAAAGGTAATACAAGTGTGGATCATTATATGAAATCCACATATTTGTGGATTCTTGTGCACTTTACAAAGTTTATCTGTTAGTCATCACAGATAGTCATTTATGCAGGTAGTCCAAGTCTAAATTTCCTTGGTTTTGCACTTCCCAAGTGATCAGTGAGAATGGATAATGATGCTTATTCAAATACGTGAAAATGTGAGCTTTGTGACAATGCTTAAATGAAATATACGGTGAAGAAAATAGTACATTCTCAGGACATACTTGTACAAAGTAATCCTGAGTGATATGACTGGATTTACTGAAAAATAAGAATTTACAGGTAAGTGTAAATGCTGCATTTTGTCACATAGCATATTATTCTTGATGTCAAAGACACTACATTCCTTTATATAGCATTTTTAGAATAACTGTTGCAGAAAAATCTGAATACATTTGGAAGAGTGTGCTTATTCAATTACATAATCTTCTTTTTGAACATCAGTTACAGGGTTTTGTCTCTACTAAAAATTTCTTCCTCTCAAAGCTAAAGGCAGGATAGAGACTTCCACCCAGGAGCTTGTTAATTTTCCCTGATGTGCTTCAGAGCAAGAATTAATTGCTGCTTCTTCCTCTGCCTTCTTACATTTAAGATTTGACAACTTCATTTTTTATTCTTACTCTATAATATGCTGTTTATTTAGTTCTTTATATTCCAGAAAAATATGCAAACTGTGTTTAAACCTGATGACTAATATAATCTACTTTCACCTTTCAGGAAAAGGCATGAGATCAGAGCAAATAATGACACCCTAAACTGAGTTACTTAAATTAGAGCCATTTGTTGGTGGTATTTCTTTAGAATATCCTGAATATTTCATGTCATAATTTTAAAAAGTGTTTGTCTTAAAACATATATGTATTTCTGGTGTTGATCTCTGTTTTGTGTTACAAGTTAGAAAAAACTGTCCATAGTCTTCTCTAGAAAAACACAATTCTAAATGACTCAGTGCTGGCTAGGAATAGTGATTATGAAAGCCTTGGGGGCTCATCATAGGTATTATTTCAGTTTTGTCTCATGAGGTGTATCAGTATATGCTGCATACTTTTTAAAAGCTTTGTGATGGTCTAGAATTTGGAAATTTTATCTATTTCTACTGAGAAAAGCCAGTACATTATATATTTCAAAGTAGAAAAATATTTGACCCTGAATAACAGATTCCATAAACAGCTATTCTAAAAGCCTCTTTCCTGAAATAAATCCTTGCTGAGGAAGAATCACATTGTACCCTCCAGCTGAGCAAACTGCTGACATGAGTATTTCTTACCTTATGGAATTTAAGCAAAGCTTGTTTCTCTCTTTTGTCTCTCTTCAAACCTGTTAAAACAGGTGCAGTGCTATAGTTATTCATTGAAAGCTGGTTAGACATATTATTTAGCATTACATATATGTATAATATAATGACATTAGTCAGAACATACCATATTTGAAAACAGCCTGAGTTATAACTTTTATTGGTTGTAGACCTAACTCATTAGATGAACAGGTTATTGATGTATCATCAGTGGCCTCTTCTTTAGTTACGTGAAGAACAACCTTGAAAAATATTTAAAGTGGAAATACTTTTGGGATTTACTGTTTTTTATTTAGCCCTCACACCTCTTCTTTGTAGTTTGAGGCAGTTGACTTGAAATATTTTCACATATGACCGACCTGTCAGGCTGCAAAGTTTTTGCCAAGTATTCTCTCATTTTTTCTGGCAGGAGGAGGGGTGAATCCTGTGCAAATTAGCTAAATACCTGTGAAATAGCTGAAGCTTGCAAGTCCTCAGATGTACTTAATGAAGTAGTTCCTGACTCATTTTTCACATTATCAATTCTATTATAATGATGAAAGAAAGTAAAAAGAAGGAAATAAGATATGGGCTGGAAAGCACAACTGGGTTAAAATCATGAGGGAACAACTAAGAGAGAATGAGGAAGGTACAAAAGCTGACAAGCGGGTGATTGAGAGAAAGGAAAATGATAGCATGAAAGCTAGAGCCTTGACCTAGAATTAGGGGGGAGATGGGTAGGGAAACCAAGGAAGGAAAAATGAATTAAAAAGAAAGAAGTAATAACTGAAAATGGAAGGAAGTAAAAATGCTTCTTTCTCTCCTCAATAGTCTTAGAAGTATTACATTCCTTGTAAAACTTGTAAAATACATTACTGGTAAAATAAACCTTGAAATGTTAACATAAGGTGTGTCTTACGTGAGTCATGTAAAAGTTTATTGTTCATGACATTTTTAGAAAGCAAGTACAAAGGCTATTTCAATCAATACAAATGCACTTGTTTTGAAGTTGACTGTAATATTGTATTTTTTTTGTCAAATAAATCCCAATTTTAATAACTTTTTCTTGAAAGCTACTATTTCTTGAAGAATAACACTCCTCAAAGAGATGAGCACTTCTCAGAATTTTAAATGCGTTAGTATGGGTATCTCAGTCAATAGACTGGAGGCAAGCAGCTCTGGAAATTTTCAGTTTGTGAAAAGAACAAAAGATAAATACAGCAACAATAATAAAATGTGCATTATTCTTGCATCTTCTCCTCAGACTGGAATGGGACACCTGCGTGTTACGAAGGATGGGCTTCGTCTGGAAGGGGAATCAGAATTCTTATTCCCTCTTTACGCCAAAGAAATCCACTCTCGAGTGGTAAGTGCTAATCTTACCACTAAGCAGATAATCTTTCAATAATGCTAAAATTAATGCACTAATGTACAGTTTAATTTAGGTAAAGTCTAGGCAGCTGGAAATATTAATATATGTGTGCACATGTGTGTATGTGTATGCACATGTTTTTGCAAGCATGATCAATGTCAATGTTCTGATGCTGTGGAAGAATGAAAGTTTTTCTCTGAGGCATGTGATAAGAAGTAGCTCAAAAAGGAATTAGAAAGATCATTATATATAAGTAATGCTAACATTTTAAGAGTGTGGAGGAAGTTTTTCATTGTTTTTACTGATACAATTTTTTAGTATAGGCTTCCCTGTGATACTGCTTGTTTTGTTTATTCATCCATTACAGAATAGTTTCAAAATCTCTAAAATCAGTGGATCCTATTGGAAAAGTTACAGGGTCTCTAATAAATTCAGATTTTGTCACTTTTAAGACAATTATATTAAATTTATTATATCTTTATATTTTTACATATATAAAATCTACCAGACTAAATGGAAATATTTAGGATTTAATCAGGTTAACATAGCTAGAAAACTCTGTTATTACTGAGATAAAGAAAGAATAACATATTTGGTCAAAGAAAATGTTAATGAAGCAGATTAAAATGGCACTGAGCATGTGTATGGTATAAAAGATTTTTATTGAAGTACTGGATTTAGAGGAAGCAAGAGAGAATATGAATTGTTTTTTAGTTATCCAGATGAACTCTGAAACTTATTTTAGTGATTTTTTTGTAGAGCAGTGTCTGTTTCTGGCCAAATAAATGAATCTTTTTCAGAACTATTGTCCATAATCTAAACTCTTACAAAATGAGCCATGTTTTATGAATGTTGTCATCAACCAATGGGACATTTCAAGTACTATTCAATGAGACTAAAAGCCGAATATGGCTCTTTAATTACTTCAAACATGCAATCATCTTCACCAAGGACAAATAGCCAGCTATGAGACTTTTCTGAACCTAGGGAAAAATTTAGTGTTTGTATGATATAGCAAAAGAAAATGTAAATAAATTTATCAGAAGGAGGTTGTTAAAATGCTTGATTACTGAAATTTAAGCAATGACAGCATATTTTACATTTGTTAAGCCTTTCTTTTTCTGCAACAAGTATTTCCAGTAGCAGCTCTTAGAAGGTGAAATTCCATTACTAAACCTGTATTTCAGTTTTGTTTCTTATGTGTATTCTTTTCTGTCTCACAGGCAGTGTGAAAACTATTTTTGTGCTTAAATGAATTTCCCTTGAGGCTGTTTATCCATTAAGGCATGTAACTTTTTAAGACCAGCAGAGGTAACACTTAAGAACTCCTTCTGCCATCCAAAAATGTTATGCAATGTTAAGCTCTTTTAGGTCATTTGTATTCATTCCAGGCCTTAATATATTTAGTACTATATAGTAAGAAAGAGGTGTGGCAGCAGCTAATGTAAGTGTAGCTGTATAATGAACCATCCTGATAGTTAGTAGCATGCACTAATTAGAGCCTTCAGGCTACTGCGTGTCTCTGCCCCTTACGAACTGGGAATTCATTGGAGGTATTCTGTTTATCTGTTGGCTTGCTTTTTTAAATATTTGAACTCTGTAGAGGCTTAATTGCCTGTAGCTTGATCTCCTGAGTGCCATCTATATATTTATTCCCATAAAGTTACTTATTTCTTACGATTTCTTTTTCTAAGTTTGTCTGTTAATAGGATTGGGCCACTCTGGTATCATAGCGGCTTTCATGCCTTAATAGTTTTCTCCTTGCAGTCTGCTGACAACTGTTCTCACCTAATGAGGTCTCCAAAATGTTAAGAAAATAAGTAGCAGAAAAATCTACTTCCTGTGCATCATGTCTGGAACCTATCACAAGTTTATGCCTTCATTAGGAGTCCAACATAGAGTTATGGGCAGCACCATTGCATCTTCATAGAATCATAGAATAGTTTGGGTTAGAAGGGACCTTCAAAGGTCATCTAGTCCAACCCCCCTGCAATGTGCAGGGGCAATTTTAACTTAGATGTAAGTGTAGCTGTATAATGAACCATCCTGATAGTTAGTAGCATGCACTAATTAGAGCCTTCAGGCTACTGCGTGTCTCTGCCCCTTACGAACTGGGAATTCATTGGAGGTATTCTGTTTATCTGTTGGCTTGCTTTTTTAAATATTTGAACTCTGTAGAGGCTTAATTGCCTGTAGCTTGATCTCCTGAGTGCCATCTATATATTTATTCCCATAAAGTTACTTATTTCTTACGATTTCTTTTTCTAAGTTTGTCTGTTAATAGGATTGGGCCACTCTGGTATCATAGCGGCTTTCATGCCTTAATAGTTTTCTCCTTGCAGTCTGCTGACAACTGTTCTCACCTAATGAGGTCTCCAAAATGTTAAGAAAATAAGTAGCAGAAAAATCTACTTCCTGTGCATCATGTCTGGAACCTATCACAAGTTTATGCCTTCATTAGGAGTCCAACATAGAGTTATGGGCAGCACCATTGCATCTTCATAGAATCATAGAATAGTTTGGGTTAGAAGGGACCTTCAAAGGTCATCTAGTCCAACCCCCCTGCAATGTGCAGGGACATCTTCAACTAGACCAAGTGGCCCAGAACCACATCCAGCCTGGCCTTGAATGTCTTCAAGTATGGTGCATCCACCACCTCTCTGGGCAACCTGTGCCAGTGTTTTGCCACCCTCCTTGTAAAAAATTTCTTCTTCCCATCCAGCCTGAATCTCCCCTCTTTCAGTTTAAAAGCCATCACCCCTTGACCTGTTGCAACAGGCTCTACTAAAAACTCCCTCCCATATTTCTTATAGGCCCCTTTCAAGTATTGAAAAGATGCAGTAAGGCCTCCCTGGAGCCTTCTCTTCTCCAGGCTCAACAACCCCAACTCTCAGCCTTTCCTCATAGGAGAGGTACTCCATCCCTCTGATCATTTTTGTGGCCCTTCTCTGGACCCTCTCCAACAGGTCTATGTCTTTCTTGTACTTAGGACAGACATAGACTTATGCAGTACAGTCGGGGGGGTGGGTCACAAGAGCAGAGCAGAGGGGCAGAATCACCTCCCTTGTCTTGCTGGTCACACTTCTTTGGATGCAGCTCAAGATACGATTGGCCTTTGGCCTGTGAGTGCTCATTGCCTGCTCATGTCCAGTCTTTCATCCTCTATCTTAGCTAATGCATATTCATGGAAAGATAAAAGATGAGCATTTATAAGTATGTTACTAGGTTTTAATTAGTCAGCAACATACATGTGGACACTGCAGGTCACATTTAATACTGAAAATTTCTAATTTATTTTTTAGATCAACCAGCAACAGTCAAATAAGTGTACTAAAGATGCCCAGATTTGTGGGTCATTTAGCACGTATTGTAATATATTTACCTGATCTTTGTTGAGTTTCCTTTTCCACCTCATACTAACTTGTTACCATTAATGTTCATTCTAACACACTGCTTTTTTTTCTGAAGATTTTTCGTAACTTGTGTCAATTCTGTGCTTTCCCATTTTCCTGATATAATTTACAAAATGAGATTCATTTATTTTGCTCACTTAGTGACTCCTTTTGAGATAGCCTGTCTTCCTACTTGTAAGATACCGGCCTTTTGTTTAAAAAAAAAAAATTGTTTAAAAAAAAAAAAGTTGGACTCCAAACTGTGTATTGCTTCTATCACTTACTAGGCAAGTGTTTGTAGTAAAATTCTTCACATAAAATGTCTTCAAAATTTTCAGGTTATCTCATAGTCTAAGCGTTAAGTTATGATGGGAACATGACTTGGGAGTGCCTTTCAGGGCTTAGCTTTTAAAGGCGCTGCACAAACTGTCTTGAGTCTAGAGGAAGTACCAGAAGCTATATATGTACAATATATACATACAATATATACAATCTTGTGTTAGTAGTAGTTAGAAACTCATTTATCTAGGAACAAGTATCACCATTGTCACAAGCAGGCAGCTTACTAATACTGTCTTCATATCATGTGTTCCTGATCCTTTGGCAACTGAGAAAGGTTCCTGTCCTTTAGATAGAATGTATACTTTAGTATGAAAGCACCTGTACGTCAAGGCATGAGTTAACACAAGGGTATGTTTTGGTTTTGGTGAAGTAATTACACATTGGTTGCAGTCCAAGAATGACATGAAATTTTGAATTGCCTACTATAGCTAGACTGGATTGTGGTAAGGCTTGCTGGGAATGAATGAAGATACCAATTACACCTGCTTGCATGCCCTGGCTTCTGTAAGTAGCATGGGTAGGCATGAGGCTCTGTTTGCTCTGCACATGTCCCAGCTGTGGTGCGACCTGTGAGGACAGTTAAGTCAAATATGAGTGGCATTGCTCTGTGACCTTCAGATGTGATTTTGTATATTGGAACACCAGATACAGCACAGAGTGTTTTAGGCTCAAGTCATGGTGCAGAGATGTGGACAAGCAGGTGATGGTGTTCAGTCTGTTAGTACACTTCTGTCATCCTTCTGAGGGGAGAACACGGAAATGATTTAATTTAGATTGACACTCTTATCTGTACTGTCATCTATTAAAGTCAGCTTTGAGCTAGTCAACCTGCCACTTTCTCCATCACACTGTCTGTGTTTTGTTGATGGGAGAGTCAGTGCCAGGTGCCAAAATCAAGCCAAAGCATACAGGCTGTGTGAATCATTGAGAAAGCAGAATGCACACGCATGTTTCTAGCCAATTAATATGACAGTGCAAATTTGCAGAGTGGAGTATTCACAATTCACTTAAACAGACGCTCAATTACATGTTGAAATGTAGCAAATCTAGTGCCTAAGCATTTTTTTCGAAAAGAAAAAATATTAGCAACCATGTTCATTGGGCCAGAAACACAGATTTTGTTCACCTGAAGTATTCTCTAGATGTTTTTTTCTTATTTTAAATCTGATACAGTTGAAGTAATCAAAAAAACCAGCCCAGCTTATTTGACAGTTGTCGATTGTTTTGTAGCTGCAAAGCTCTTTCAGTGACTGAGTTAATGTAAACACTGGACTATGTTTTCAAAGTTGTTAACAATTCTAATTATTCTGTGAATCTACTTTTTTCCCCCTCTGTACTCCAGGACTCATCACTGCTTCTCCAGTCTACTCACAATGTGACTGTTAATGCTCGCAATTCAAATGGGGAAGTCACAGGCAGATTAAATGTGGGTAAGTCTTAAGTTATTTTTCCTTGTTCACTGTTTTGGAAACATAATGAATATTTGCAAGGAGCTTTGAGGATATAAAGCAGTAAATGTGATTATTTTTCACTGCTATGGCCATATATCAATAGTCCAGCTGCCACTCAATAAGTACCAACAGTATATTTTTAATTGCTCAGTTCAGCATTGGTTCTGTAAACATTTGAAGTACTTCTTTACAGCAGAGTTATTCAAGAAAGGCCACTGCAGAAGTTACTCTTTTTCTTGTGTATATAATCTATTGATAATTGCAAATCATTTTCTGAGAAAATGATTTTATCTTAGAGGTCTGTATGTCTCACTTCATTTCCTAGTATACCAGAGATTAAAACATTAAAGCAGATATCCTAAAATAATAAATAGATAGATAGATAGATAAATAAATAAATAAAAATTAGAAAGCCAGTACACAGAAATGCACATTTTACTATATTTGGTAGCAGTAAGATACATTGGTTTACTGGAGGCAATCAATAGATCTAGACAGATGTAGGTGATAGATCATGGCAGAAAGAATAAGCAGCATTACTCTTTAAGTTGTATTTTTAAGGCAAGAATGACAACAAGTATGTGTCATATACAACAAATTTTTTCTTAGTTTTGTTAATATTTTTCAAACTTTGACTTTAGAGAAAAATGTAACAATTTATTAACTTGTTTCTTCTAAGATTCTTATGCAGCAAAGCATAAATTCCTGATTATTTAACTGTAAGACTAACCTAATATGCTTAAGTAGTTTGCTGATTGGGACCCAGATGAGCAAATTTTCCATTCTGAGCAACTTTTCCATTTACAATTCTGAGGAGATTGTAAATTCTGTGACAGTTCCTGTTTGAAGAACTATATCAATTCAGTGAACATACTGCAATCTTCACTGTTTTAAAACAAACTTCAAAGTATAATGAAAAACATATAAAGGAGACTGCTACTCCCCTTAAAAATGCATGATTATTCAATTAATCACTATTTGGCCTTTAAATGTTTTTAAATCTCTTTTGTTTCAAGTTAATCATAAAGGTCTGAATTATTCTTCAGAAGAAAATGTCCCTAAACATTTATCAAAACACGATAGTAGCTTTCATATCTCATTTTGATAATTATTAAGGTTGAAATGTACAGTTTTATATTATTAGTAAAGTTATTAAATGGTTTTTAGTAATTAACTATACAGTGACCACAAGACCAAACCCGAAGTTTCTGTGACATACGCTGTTGATTCTGTCTGCTCCGTACTGTTTGTGGCTGCCCATGGTGGGACCAGATGTGTATCTGCACTGTGGTCATGTGCCTATCCTGCCTAATGAGAAGTTGTCAGGAGATCCTTTGGGAAGGGCAGACCACAGAGCATATCATTGACCACCACACTAATTTGCCCAACCTGATCACTGCCGAAGTCTGAGAAACTTAGAGATGAAATCATGTCAGATAGTAGCCCAAAGGCATAAGGAATTTTTTGGCAGGCTGTTTCCAGCCTGTGTGACCTAGAACTGCTAATAGGAAAGGTGTGGTATGCAGATGTTCATGAATATTCAGTCCTGTATTGAGTTTAGCCACTTGTAAGATGAGTGACCCCATCATTAGCAGATGCTTTTCCATGAAAGTGAAAAAAGCTGCTTTGATTTTTGCTGAACTCAATTCTGTCACTATATTTTAATATACTCATGATACACTTATGGGACTGTGTCCCTACAGAAATAAGGCAACTCCATAATTTAAGATGGAAACATGACATACTTTTTGCAGGTGGAAGGTACATGGCTTCTCACACAATGTTTCAGCATTAACAGTTAAGTAACTTTGTTGGGGAAAAAAGTGATACAGATGATTTGCTCTTTTCAACTTTGGTGCCTATAATGTAACTGAGGTCCACAAAAAAGCAGTCTGAGATATTCGTGCACAGTTTATCTTTCCTGCTAATAAAGAGAACTTCAGTGCTGGAAGCAGCGTAATGGATATATTTTAATGGAAGGAAAGAAATTTTAGTTCTTTTGTGCCAGGCGATAGTTATAGATCTTACCTTGCCTGGCAAAAGCAACAACAAATCTCGGGCCATCTTTTCTTTTTTTCTCCTTCCCAATCACCACAGTCATCTTCTGAGAGTGTTAACTAAGAGCAGTACAGAAAGTGAGATGGAATCTGCTGCCTTAAATAGAAAGTTAAAAATATCTGCTCTGTAGGGCTAGATTCAATCTAGATTAAAGAAAACTTGTGAACTGAAGACTTGATAGACAGAGAAGGGTCAAGACATGCCCATGTTGTAGAATATGGACTGTGCTGACTAGCAGGGAGAGTTCTGCTGAATGGTAACTGTCAGCAGTGACTCATTTAGAGGAAGTACCACCCATATTTAGTATTTTCCCCTAATGGTAGTTTAATTCTGTTTCTTCACTTTTCACATTGCCTGTTTTTTTCTGGCTCTTTTCCCAGCAATTCAGTGTATTTTTTACCTTTTGATCTCAAGCATCTTTAATCTTTTCCTAAGGGAAAGCCAAATACTTGGTGCTGACCAGTCAAAAAGTTGTCTAGCTGTGCAGAAGGCCTGTATCTGGCTTAGGCAATATATGCGCAAACCAGTAGAAAGGAGCAGATTATAGATTGGAAGATCTGCATCTCAAAACTTTAAAAGTGTTCAGTGTATAAAAGGCAGTTCAAATACAACACTGAAGTAGGGAAGTTCTGACAGCACTCTGGCTTGCTTTACAAGAAATAGGTAAGAAGGTAAAATAATGATTTGAGCCTGGGAAAACAAAAACTACTTCAAAAGGAAATTCTCATGTGCAATTGCATATTATTTGAAATATTTTATGTTTAAGTAATCTCTTTCTGACTGGATTCATTACTAATTGGTCTTATTTGCTGCCTGGTGTAGTTGGTACCTTTGTAAATACTAACATGAAATACTACTAATACTAAATCATGCTAATTTTAGGCTGATGGAAAAATGTTTGAAAAAAGAGTGAAAACTAAATACTGTAGAGAACTCTGTTAATACCTAAAGTCACAACAGTGACTGGGATAAGTGGCAGTCTGTTAAAGTAAACGACTATCTGTACATAGCTTGGTATTTTTAGCCATTGTCCTTAGCCAGTCATAAAATGCATGCAAGATGATGTTTCCTTGTAAGTGTGAAAAATAGATGTGTGGCTGATTAAATTTGTATGCACAAGCCTTTTCTAAAGAACTAATGCCTTCCACAGTTGCCAACATGCTGGTATTATGTCTTAATACTCTATTCATCTTACAAATAGGAGCAATTGCCATTGTGAAGGAACCATATAGATGAGTTTTGGATTGTTCCAAAGATGACAATATAATATAGTATTACTCATAAGATCATAACAAAAATACCTTTTAACTCAGAGAAGATTGTGATTCAAATGATCTGTTAAAATATTTTAATAAGTTACTAAGAGTGATTTAAATACCCAGTCTTCCATAGAAGTAATTCACAAGAGAAGTGAAACAGATCTTTACTTGAGGAGTTCTATCAAATTCCTTACCTGAAGATAACAAACACGTTATGAAAGAATGAAAAATGTTTTCCTCATGAATCACAGATGTACCCAAATGACTTTAAATGTGAGCAACTTCTGCCATGAGCACTTTAGTTTTACAGTTTCTACATGCTCCTTGGTTTACCTGCATGACGTACCTCTTGCAGGAGTTGTCTGAATATTGTAGCTCTTAAAAAAACTTGTGTTTTGGACTTTGTTCCGTAATTACACAGCTTTCAGAAGCCTCGCTCAATGCAAATGCATTTAACTAACTGCTTGCCAGGAAAAGACTAAACTAAAAATAAAAACCAAAACCAGTTCTGTGCTTTACTCATTTTTTACTTCAGTATTCCTCTGCCTGACAGAGATACCCATTTTGCTTGAATTACTCTTTTAAATCATTTAAAGCTCATATATGACCAAAGAAACTAGTATTAAAAACTAGTAAATAATTTCTATTTTAAAAAATAATATTAATAATTCAAAACAAAGCAAAAAAAAAATGAAACGGGACTTTCAGTTAAGAGATTATGGGGATGTGATTGCTTTGGGAACATTTCTGGGAGAAATGGGACTTAGGAAAGGATGTTGCCCAACAGACAGCAAGGAAGGAATCTAAGGAAAGCACAGATGTGTGAAAGAGTTAGAGGGAGTTAAGAAAACCATAGGGAGAGATGCTTATAAGCAAGGCAAGGATGTCTACAGAACAGATGGTAACTATTTTCATTAGAATAGCTCCTGTGTTTAAAATCATGAATAAGATTCAGATGTCGTTATCACAGCTTGCTCATCAACCTTCAGAACTGAAATATCTAGAACTTTCTTCAATAATCAAAGAAAGCAACTGAATAAAGCTGTTAACTATCATCTCCAAGATTGCTGTTCTTATCACTTCAAAGTCTTATTCAATCCTAGAACAAAAAAAGAATATAGCACCTTTGATTTATACCCTGAGCCATAATAGAATCATAAAATGGTTAGGGTTGGAAAGGACCTTAAGATCATCTAGTTCCAACCCCCCTGCCATGGGCAGGGACACCTCACACTAGATCATATTGCCCAAGGTTCTGTCCAACCTGGCAATAATAAAGTAACCTAGTATAAAGATTATCAAACTTCGTCAATGATGAATGATAACAAATATGAAATATATGTAAAAGAAATAAATGGACTACATAGTCAATTATCAATACTTAGACAAACACTGGTAACAAATATTAAAAGATGGTTCACCTAAGCAAATATATACTTACATATACAGCCTAACAGCAGGTGAATGTAATGCAGTCAGATTTTGCAGTGGTGCCCCAGTGTTGAATATTAAGAAAGTAGATAAAAAGCAACATGTTTCCAGCTATCTTTACTGAAAAGTAGAGTCAGCTTTTGAAAAGGTCTATTTTTCAAAGTCATGGTTAAAGACTATTTTCATGTCCATCGCATTAATCTGAACAGCTGTTAAAATAAGAACATTTAT